CCCCCCCCCCCTCTGCCATACATTATGAATGCAGCCTAACTGATAGACATTGGTATCTGAACCAATCAGACTTCATGTTTGCAATGTAATTTATAATTTTTTATAATTTTTTTCCCTTGAGCATTTGAGGAAGCATCCTTCGTCAATAATACTTATAATAAAATAAATTGGGATTATTAGATTATACGATATATATAGTATTTATATCCCCCTGGGAGAAGTTTTAAGTCATCCAGGCTACCTGTGGATTAACTAAGAAGTCACATGATCAAAAAGTCAAACCTTATAAATAAGTGTAGTATAAAAACCCATAATAAATATATAATTGTCATTTAAAAAACAACTTACACTCTTAAAAACACACATACAAACACACCTATAAATCATGAACAATTTAAAAGAATATATTATTTAGAAGAGACGAAATATTTGGCACGTGGACAAGAACTTGCTCCAGCACGCCATCATGCTTCGTCGTTGTTTACTTTTAGGTATCTACTTCAATAACGCACCACTCCTTTTGTTTTAGTGTAATTAAAATTGTTTTATATTCTTATTTGATGATTGATAAATGAAGCTGAATTCTAAATTTTGATCTTAGGTGAGAGAAAAAAGGAAAATTTGATTCAAATATATTTGATGTACTTGATTATAAACTTGCTTCAAACCTACCTCAAAGATATCTTCGATGTCTTCCATTTTCACCGTATTGATTGCTTACTACACCAAGGACGTAGCTGCTTTCAATCTTCAAAGGGGTTGTCTCAAATTGTCAAGCCAAAAAGGTAAAAATGATGGCCAATTTCACAGCAACATGGTGAGCAATTGTATTCGTACTGGCCATTCAAATTATCTAGTGACTTACTACTGAGTCGATGAGCTCATTCAATTCATGAATCTCATCAGCATGACAATCAAGTGTGGTACTTGAAGCGTCCAGCTAATATACAGTGTACTTCACTCCAGTAAAGAAATATAAGAATATGAAGAATTCTAGCTGTTTAACTAAACTCAGACCGACGAAAAGGTGGCAACTTCGTGCCTGATCAATGAATTACTTTTCATGACCGGAAGTTGGTTTACATGACGTCACATCATAAGATGTCTATTAACTTCCGGTCTTTTGTGGTAGCATTGTCTCTTGTTCTTATATTTCATAGCAAAATTAATTTAAGAATATTGAAAGGTATTTTTTATTTTAGATAAAATTTGTATTCAGCTAGAGGGTTGTGAATGACTGTATGTATCAGAAGCTGTTTTTGTTAACCATGTAGAGGATATGTCGCGCAGGATGGATCAAAAGTGATCGTCTAGAGGGCTTTTTGCCATCATTATCAGATTAATGTACGCTTTAACCGGGGCTTTAAGGGATGGTGGATTAGTTGATTGAGGAGGGATTGCAGGAATTTATGTTGCACGATATTTTTTTATAACAAACCCTGCACGCAATTTAAAATATATATATTTCTTTTCTGAAAGGAGAGGTTGTGCAATATTTTTTTCGTAGGTAAAGTGCTTCCTTGATTTTTTTTTGGGATTTACACATACCCGCCCATCAATTATCAAATGGTCTGTCTAAGGGTAAGTGTATTTATTCTTTTTATCGGGTAAAAAGATATATTTATGGGCGTGGTTCAGTGAAACGCGCAACACGGAACCTCGTGAATATTGGAGAGATCAATATTGTAATATGAGTCAAGATTGTATGTCGTCATATGCGTATATTTAGTTGGGACCCTCCAAGTTTTGTACTTGCTTATCGTTGAGGCAAGAAAGTACACATTTTTTTGCGGGTGCGGTAAATATCTGTGTTTGTACCAATATATAGTTAGAATAGGCCCTTTGCAGCTCAGTAATCACGTGCTGATTAATTCACTGAGAGCAAATGAATGGACATCTTGATTCCCATGGGTGAAATATACTGGTGAGCAAACAAACTTTCTACAACCTGTTTCGAGGGCTCGTAGTAAAACTGCATTTCAGTCGTACCACACTGGTTAACATCGTTTCATTGAGTTCTTTACAAGAAGCTAAAAAGAATTACCAATTTAAGATAAAAACAAACAAAAAATTTCTCACAATTTCTCACAGACACGTGACCTTTGACTGCAAAGTCCCTATTCCGCCGCCCTTAGCGAATCTCTACTGGAAAACAAGAGCCGTCTACTTGGTGTAAGTCTACAATGCAGTCTGCAGTTTGTATTTGTTTGTATGGTAGTGTAGTTTGAATGTGGTTTACAAAAGCGTTAAGATAATGCGCAGTAATGGTCGCACGCCCAGTAATTGCCGCAATATTCAGGTCCTTTAGGTATTACCTTGGAGTGTACGCACTAGGAACGAGATAGCTAGCCTTTGAGTCTTGTAAACGAGCGCAACACAAAAACAAACTACGAGCCAAACGTGGTGAAGTAAAAGCAAGGTTAAGATAAAGCTTACCACGACAAAGAAAACAAAGAAATCCAATAGGCAGACCACAATACATCCTGCAATAAAAAGACAAAAAAAGCTATTAAGAACTTAATATATTGTGTAACACAAGAACGACTGAGATCTCTGCAGGAAGATATATATTAAAAAGTCATATCAGTTTTAAAATACAGAATAAAGTTACAGACATTTTTGGAAAGTAGTTTCCCAGCCCTCCCCTGCTCTCCCCTCCCCTCCTCTCCAACGAATAACATTAAACATTATATATATATTTCTGGCTGACTATGAAATAAAATGTCAAATTTTGATAAATCTGTACTTAAAAGTGCTATCTTGTTAATTGAAAATTGGGCCTAATTTAATTCAGGTTATTGTTATTTGTTTCATTAATGATTAATGAGGTGTGTCTCCTGAACGCTAACAAAGGAGGTCTGCATAAATTAATCATCCCTATAGTGACAGCCCATACATAACTCTGAAGTCGAGCAAACGGTGATGGAGAATTATAAGGTAAAAACATCTCTCGTACTCGTTCAAATGCTGCAAAATAAGTCATGCTTACTTATACTTAGATTATTTATCTTAGCTTCATCAGAGATTAGGCAAAGGTGCTCAAGGGGCAGTATTTTTGGTCGAGAACAAGAATGATAAGAAGAAATATGTTCTAAAGAAGGTGAGAAAATGGTCTTCATTCAAAAGTTAATAACTCCTTTAAACGGGTATAAAATGCTTAGCTTTCCCTGGAAGCAAATTATTTCTTCATTAGAGCAGGTAGTAAGACATAAAAGATTTGATAACGGTGTAGTTACTGTTGTTTTAAGTCGAGTTTTTCTTCTTGGAATGGCTGTTCTTGCAGTACTGTGTTTGTAGGCACATGTGACGGAAACTTGAAGAAACTCACTTTCTCTATTTTAACTAACATTTTTCTCTTCAAAAGGCATTTATTTTACACTATACTTTGCAGTAATTAAAAGAATAAAACCAATAAGTACTTCAATTGGCAGAAAATCAAAAATAATTATTATTTAATGTTTAATCTGTACGGAAAAGGCGCTACAAACATAAACAAACAAACCAGAATTTGCATATTGAAGTTCAAACTCGAAAATCCTTATTATATATTAATTTTTATTTAATTCTGATTAAAAGGTTTCAAAGCCAAGAAAAACTCGAAATAACGCATTAAATTTTTAACATTTTAAAAAGGATTAAAGATTTATGGAGAGTAGAAGTTAGAGTCTTATAAGATTGTACAACAGATTTGACAAATACATTTTGACAAGTTAAGTTTTTCGCAGTCACATGAGATCTGACAACGAGACAAAGGCTAAAATGACATTAGGAAAAATATTAATGACAAGAAGTAATAAAAAATAGAAAATTTTAAATTCATCAGAAGTGCAACTATGATAATGAAAATGTAAAAATATATGAAAAATTAAAAAATTACAATATTTGCAAAAAAAATTAATGCTTACTACATTAATTTCTTTTTGAAATTCTGAGTCTAAGAATCAGAAAGCAGAAACCAGAAACTAGAAAACTAACAAAACAAGCAACTCCTGGATTCAAGCCTGCATCAATGGAGTTTCAAGAGTAGTCAATACGACCCTTGATTCCCTATTTAAAAGACTGCTTTACTTTTAGGTGGAGTGTAACGATGAGAGTGAAGCTAACAAGGCTTTCAAAGAGGTTAGTTTTAATTTATTATTTATAATTTTTGACACTTCAACATATGTTTCATATAAGGGTACCATACTGCAGATTACTATTGATGGTATATTCACTTTCCTGTTTCATGCAGGCMATGGCCCTTCAGGAGCTTAAACATCCATTTACCTGTGGATATAAAGAGTTCTTTGTTACTTGGGACAAAGAGGTAAGATCTTCAGCTGAATAAAATTCTTGAAGCTTATTTAGCTGCACAGTACACCAATAATTATAATGCCATTAAATTATTACTTGATATTCATTTGGTTATTATTATTTTGAAATAGGAGTCAGCCATGTTTGTGTGTATAGTCATGAAGTATTATAAACTAGGTGAGTATATATGACAAACCTTTGAAAGTATTCTATTAAATATGTCACAAAATATATGTGGCAACTATAACAATAACAGTTTCCATGGAAACTATGATTCAAGCCCACATCTTACTTTTATTCCTTACCATATTTGTATAAAAATAAATAAATAATGAATAAATGGAATTTAATGGTGGCATTTCCACAAAGTAGCTCTTTGTTCACTGAATTCCAAATGGAATTTAGAAGGTGATTTTTGCGGAGGGAGGAAAACCAGAAAATGAGGAGAAAACCCTTGAAGCACAAGAGAAAACTAACAAGCCACTTTACTCACATACGACACCAAGTCAAGGAACGAGTCCARGAATTGTACCAAGGTAGCATTGGTGAGGGGAGATCACCAGCTATCACAGCTACTTTAACCATGATTCTGTTATAATTTTTAAAAATTGTAGCAGAATTGAAATCGAATGTGTACTTGGGTGGCTTGAAACGACCTGGCTCGAAATGACTGTGGATTGAAAAGACTGGCATTCAARTATTATTATATGAAAAAAGGATAATAGTACAAATCATCTTTTGAAAATGAAGTGATGTTTTTTGTATCTCATAGGAGACTTGGACAAGGCTTTAAAACAGAGAAGGTCTAAAGGAGAGTCTATAAGTGAAATTGTAAGTTCTTTTGAATTAATATCAATGTCTTTTTATGCTTGGCTACCACAGGTAACCCAGTAAATTACTTATAATTACTTAGACCATAGGCAATGTAAGGATTCAAAAGTTATGGTGAAATCTTCAGAAACCCAATAGCATAAAAAAATGAAAAGGTTCATCCATTTTGGATATAAATCAAAAGTTATACTAAGTATAAGTTTTATTCATTTGTCTCATGATTGTGGCAATTAGGTGGACTGCGATGTTTTGACTGCTACTGCTAGTCTTCATCAGGCAATGTAGTCCTAYGCAGCTGCTATTAGTTTTGTCACGCAAGGCTTACACACTACATGTGATGGTGTAGACTGGAAGGTGATCCTCTTATATACCCTTAGCATATTTAGTAATTTAAGTATTTTTCGTGTAATAGATCCTAAAGAAATGGTTTGGTCAAATGCTGGCAGCTCTGGTGTTTGTACACGACAAGCAAGTTATTCACAGGTTAGTTGACAGAGAGGTTTATTTTAATTTTATTTATTATGGTTTAAATATTCAGGATTACTTAAATTTCATTTTCCTTGCAGAGATCTTAAGCCGAGTAATATTTTTATGGAAGACACAGGAGACGTAGTTGTAGGTATGTTAAAAATTATTATTATCAAAAAAGTAAAGACCCTATCAGACCCTATCTACCCTTTGGAAATCTTWAACCCCCACCCCCTCCCTCCCCCCCATAGGGTAGGTATGGATATTTTCTGGAACTACACATATACCCTCCGTGGATCTCCCAAGTCCTTGGAAATATCTATCCACCATCCCTGGGGGATATATGGATATTTTCTGTAACTACATAATATAGCCTCATCTGAATCTTCCCATCCCTTGGAAATTCCAATCCCACTCATGGGTGAAGTATGGATCTCAGACCTTCCCTACCCCTTAGAAATTCCTCTTTGAAAATGTATGAATATTTTCTTAAATTACAAATGGGATTTATTTTTACTTTCTTTGAAGGTGATTTTGGCGTTGCAACAATAATGGATGATGCTCGAACAAGAACAAGAACAACTGTTGGTGAGATAAACAAACTGAATGGAGCTCATGAATGATGATACTCMCTTCCATTATGCTGTAGAAAATAAATATTTTACCTTGTAATTGTTTCCAGGAACAATGAACTGGATGGCGCCAGAAGTATTAGAAAGACCGTATCCTTAAACAGCTTAACAATAGGTGTTGAGGGAACTCATACTGTTAGCTTTGCTTTTCCTTGAATGTAAAGCAATAACAGTTTCTAAGTATCTCTTCATGGCTCAAAATAATCTCCAGTCAATGAAAAACATCTGGGCAAAAATTTCCACTCAATGGTTAATTACTGGCCAAAATTGGCATTTGTCTGGCCAAACATATCTTTTGACCAGTGTTGACGTTGTCTCCTCACATGCTGATCAGCCCAACATGGCCAGTCAGCATGTATGGCCATGCATTGAACAGCCATTATTTTTAACCCTGTATTGCATTGTCATTTCGATTACACATTGTAATTATTTTGTTCAAACAAATGAATATGACAGTTTAATCTTTAACCTTCTTAAGGTATGATGAAAGAAGTGATGTCTGGTCTTTAGGTTGTATTTTCCTTGAAATGGCTACCTGTGGTTTCATGGATGTAAGTCACGCACTATCTGATTTTATTATTTACTATCTGACAGCATTACTCGGCACAAGACTGTTTTYCTCTGTCTTCAGAATGCATTGGTCCCCACCCACAAACTGTCTGGGTCTCCCACCAGAGGGTACCGTACCCTATCAAAGAGGATGGACCCTCCTTCCCCCAGAGGCTACAACCCAATCCATACCAGAGATAACAACCCAACCCTATTACCATATTTGCTTCACCTATGGAGCATAGTTCTTCATTTTCCCATGCGTAGTGCGTAGTCCATATCTCTGTTCCATTCTAGAGTTTTAAAAACCAATTTCTCTGATTCATTTAAATATTTTAATATTTTTCATACCAACACAGTCTGCTCAAATGTCATCAGTTCTGTTTCAAATCAAACAGTCACCGCAGGTCTTGGAGGAAATACTAGAAACAGTCAAAAAGGTAAAGAGTCGTTCTATACATTTGTCAAATTCAAGTAATATCATAGTTAACTCTGTTTTCCTTGTTTCAAGAGGGACATTTAAATCCTAAACATTGGGTACGGTTAGTAACTAAACAAAACTAATGTTTATGTAAGTAATGATCTTACCTATTTGTTTTGTCATCCAGCAATATTCCAGTGATATGTGTCAGCTTATTCGTACCATGTTGAGGAGAAACTTCCAACAAAGACCATCAGCAAAGTAAGCCTTTCTTTCCTTGATTTGTTCTCTCTTTCATTCGCTAAATCTTCATCCATTTTGTCAACCCTTTCAGGGAGTTGTTTGATCTTCCATATGTAAAGTCTTGTATTGCACTGCAAAATAATAATACARGTGCCAAATCAGGAAGAGGATCTCCAACCAAGAAAGCAGGTATCTGTAACATCTATGCATGCCTAAACCACCCTCCCCACCCCTCCCATTTAGCATAAGCCTAAAATAACTTTCCCCACCCTCCCCACCCCTTCCATTTAGCATAAGCCTAAAATAACTTTMCCCAYCCTCCCCACCCCTTCCATTTAGCATAAGCCTAAAATAACTTTMCCCMYCCTCCCCMCCCCTTCCATTTAGCATAAGCCTAAAATAACTTTMCCCAYCCTYCCCACYCCTYCCATTTAGCATAAGCCTAAAATAACTTTCTTCTGGACCTTATTTCAGGTGACAAGAAGAATGGTAAGTAAGGGGTACCAAACCGTTTTAACCATGTTGTTTTTAATGCAATGGGTTTAACTATGAAAATTCTATGTTTCTATGTTTAGCTGCCGTCAAGCCGGTCCCAAAGGACAAGGGTGTGGCTGGTGTTCTCCGTAAGTAACCTCCTGATATACAAAACACAATGAAGTAGGGGGGAGGGGTCATTATAGTAGATTTGTCACGGGTCGAAAACTCATAGCACTGTAAATCCTAGAGCGGTTTTCGTATGAATAGAAGCAATACGATGCGGCAAATTCGTGTTTGTACCGTGTCTTACCGTAGCCATAATCTACTCATTGTGGTTGATGAATTACTGAAAGATAAGGAACGAAGCCATTTCAGTGGTACGGCATTTCGTAACGCGTGTACGTGCTGTAAGTCAGCTGTATGTTTACCACTCATACGAAAGCCGTCTCTCTCCTAAACCAATCAAGAGGCAAGAAAATGTGAGCCAATGATGATGTTTAACACTCAAAGGAAACCTAGTTTATTTTTTCTAAATGTAATAGCAGTTTTYGTATGCGACTTTATTGTTAAAACACGAGCACATTTGTTTTTAGAGTACATGAAGGAAAACAAAGACTCAGAAGCCTGTCAGGTAACTTAAAATAATATTACAATATTACATACGATAATATTAAAATAATATTACATTACAGTTTTTTCCTGAAACGAAAAATTGTTCTTATTCCTAAACATTGTTTATGTTGGTTGGATTTCAGGTTGAAGCGTTTAAACACATCGAAAAAATAACTAGAGAAAAGGGTGAGAAATAGTAAATAATTAATTTGTAAAATGGTCGTCTTCTAGCAAAAGCAGATGTAATTTATCCTACTCCTCTGATTAATGTTGGAAGAGGATTTGGTATTAAGTTGCGCATCAAAGGAATGGAAGCTAAAAATGACTTTGCATGATCTTGCAGGAGTTGCTCTTAATGGTCCAACACAAAAGACTATAGCATCTACCATGAAAAGCAATGTTGGCTGTGAAAAGATACAGATATTAGGATGCAAGATATTCATTAATATTTTACCAAAAGGTACATTAAAAAATATTAGCATATTTATTACTTGGTTATACATTTAGGGTGTGCCACAGTTGATGCATACTGGGAACATTTTTACAATTTTTATTTTTCATCACTGATGGAGTCCCCCAAAGTTCATTATTGGGCCCCAAGTTTTCCGGCACCATTACTTATTTATGACTCTATTGGGGCCATTTCAACTCCCTTTGTTCTTGCTTCTGTCGATACTTTTTTCAACATTATTTACGGAGTCCCTCAGATTAGTCATTGGGACTCCCAAGTATTCCGGACATTTTAAATAATTGAAGTTTTTCGTCATCCTTTCTTTAACGTAGCTGATGAAGAGGACGTGATATACACAGCTGATGTTATTCAACCCGTAGTTCTTGCAATGAGGGTAGGTATAGGAAACCTTTTTTGAAAACCTCTATAATACCAGCAGCAGCAGTGTTGTCGCGCTACCAATAGCCGGTCTCTCGTTGTCTATTATTGAATATGTTATATTATCTCGTTTTAGTCTCATTCAAGTTCGTCTGAACTGCAAACAAGTGCCTGCCAGCTCTTGATGGCTTTGTCAGCAGACGGTAAAGACAAGAACAATAATACCAAYATATTGCTATAGTTGTGTTAACCTTGACATTGACTGCTTTGTACCTCAACTGAGTACAACTGAGTGAATAAATGTTTCAAAAAACCATACTGAAAATGTCCTTTTGAGAGATAGAGAACTTGCGTGACCGTGACCGTGACAGTAACGGTGTCGCGTCCCAGCCCCTCGAGTACAAGTGAATGCAATATAATTGACTCAGTAGCTGCAACTAATCCTGTACCGTTAGTGTTTAGCGATTTTTTACAGTATTCCGATTTTGAAGTTTTCGATAATCTTAGAAGCTGACTTTATTTCACGTTGACAGAGGCCGCAGCGGAAGTGATAGGAAGACTTGGTGGTGTACAAGATGTCTTGTCATCTATGCGGGCTTTCCCTGACAATGTTGAGATTGCGTCCAATTGTTGCGGTGCCTTGTGGAGTCTCGCAGTTAATGGTAATTCAATACTAGTTTTATCGTATTTTCTGTGATCTATATTTATGTCGCAAACCGCTGACACGTGTCATCGACATCTAAGACTGAGATATTCACAGTCATCCTCTTTATTTGTTGCGCATCGACTTTTTATCGCCCCTTTTAAAGTAGCAATAAATACATTTTCGGTTCAATAACCTATGTTATTTACTTATTGGACATATTACCTACCCGTAATTGTAGGCTTGGTGGCTGCCAGCGAACGTCAATATTCAGTCAGAAACGCCATACCTTGCTATATAGATATCAGATTCTTCTACTAACTGAAACAGTATGGTATACTCCAGCCTGGGCGTTTCCCATATCCGTCCACTTGTCGCTTACTCATTAAGAATAATATTCTTAGTTGTTTGACTGAGTTGTATCAATATTCATGTGTCCTCTCTTGTGCAACCGTTAAATAAAGAAATGATACTCTAGAGAATAAAACGTAGAGTGAAATGACGTGGCTTGAAATAGGAAAAGAAAAGAGTCTATTTAAATGGGTTTGTATTTCACATTGGATTTTAAGAGCACATGTTTTATTTGTTTTACTCATAGAAAATAACTGTAAGATCGTGACAACAGAACGTGGCCTTCAGGATGTTTGCAGTGTTATGGAGAGACACGCTGACGTAGTGGAGTTGGTAGAAGCTGCTTGTTCTGCTCTTTGGTCTCTTTCTATGGAAGGTAAGACAATAAAATATCATGCTGTTCAATTTTTGAAATATTGTTGAAGCCTTGAAGGGTGGCATGCGCTGCTACGCCGGTGTCTCTTACCGCTGTGTAGTTCAAGGCTGTGGTCGCGGGCTCGATCCTTGACTGGAATTCAAATCTTAAAGTAATAGTTATCATAGTAAATTTACCCTTGTAATAACGTCCAACGATTTACATTCAGAAATATTCTTTGGACATTGTTACTGAACTAGATTAGCTTTATAGTTATTTTGAGTAGCATTTACTTTTCTTTTGTATTAATTATCTATTGTGCAGTCTAAATATTTATAGTATAAGTTATAAAAATAATTGATTGATTGATTGATTAAAATGAATTAAGTTTGCCTTTTTGTGTGCTTCTTTCCGTCGCCATGGTTTTCCTCTTGCCGTAAAAATCAACTTACGAGTCGAGTGTTTTAAATCTAGTGGTAGTGCGTGTGAAGCGAGCCTTACGGAAGAGTCCCTTACGGGAAGTTATTGTTATTGAATCTTTTTTTGTTGTTGTAAAAGCGCGCGCGATGTTAGTATAACGAAATAAGCATTTAAAAGTTACAAAACAGCTGCGCACAACATCCTAATGCTGCCAAAACGTTTTCGTTTTAACCAAAAGTACGCTTGTCATACATGCTTGTATTGTGTTCGAATTATATATTGTTTTTGTTGTTGTTGTTTAACAGATGAAAACATTGAACAGATGGCAGATCTTAGTGTTCCAGATCAACTCATGTCAGCCATCGTGCAGCATAGCAAGGTGTTTATAACTTCTGTTTGTCTATGGCCTTTTTGCTACATCCGTGTCCTTCTCTATCTCTTGTGTAAGAATTAGAGTAAGCATGRCTTATTTTTATTTTCATTATTTCACAGGAACCCAAGGTTGTAAAGAATGCTTGTATGGCCCTTGCGTCCATCGTAGAAGCAGACGGTAAGTTATCTCTTCCTTCAACTTACAGAAAATCCAACTCTTGCGATCTATCCGTTTATTTTATTTCCAATTCAGTCATTCACCTYGATATTGTCCGCAATGTTTTCTTGTCCACATTTAACTTTTTTTTTGTTCTATTTTTGGACATTTCGTATTTCTGTYGTGATTCGTTTCTTTCATTCATTTCATTTCCTTCTTTTATGTTTTGATTCTATTTTTAATATATTCTCACCTTTGTTTACCAGAGATGTGCGCGTATCGCCTGGTTGCTTTTGAAGACAACACAGGAATCAAGGTCATCATGGATGCTTATAAGTGAGTSAAACAAAATTGGACTAAACAAATCAAAACTAAGAAAAGACTCTTGGTAGTACCACAGGGAGCCCAAGACTGCTTTTTGTGGCTAAGAATTAATCGATTTTCTCGACGGTTTTTGGAAAGTTCAAAATTCGGTTGTAGCTGAGAACAGGACACACAAAAAGTAGATGAAACGAAAACCCTAACATTTTTCAAAAATCGACTAAATCAATTTATCCTTGGGCTCTATGTGACAATCCTATGAATCGCTGGATAAATATTGAAGATTAATAATCATTATTTACCTGTAGGTCCATGAAGCAGAATGAAGAAGTGGTTGAAAATATTTGTGTACTTTTYTCTGAGCTTGTAGAATACGGTTAGTATACAGTTAGGAAAACMAGGTCTTCTCTTTTACACCAGAGGGGAGGTAAGGACAATTTTTGAACACCTCATCTCAGGTCCTCTCTTTCTGCGACAAAACTTTTTCCACAGGGGGAGGGGTAAATACAAATTTGATCATSTCTTGCTTATTTGTGCATTAGGCTGATCTGCAGTTTCTCTTATCAATTTTTTCTAGATGAAATAAGAGAAGAAATGGTCTCGCTCAAAGTTCACAATATCCTAGCTGAAGCGAAAAAGAACTTTCCAAACAATGAGGTGATTTAGTACGAGATATTGTCTTGATAATCGACATGTTACAGCTCATTTACCTTGATGTTTTTTGATTGAAGGATCTCGTGACCCCCGCAGCAAGCGCGCTAGTACTCCTGGGAGGTGGCAGCCGTAATGGACGGCGAGGCAGCTCAGCTCGATCACGACCCAGAAGTGCTGCAAGAAAGTAGAATCTTCAAATAGATGAGAGTATGGTTTGCTGGTAGTATAACACGTCCTATCCCCTCCCCCCTTAAAATRCATATTACTATACCTCTTACCATTATATTATGTCTCTATCTCACTGCGCATACTCATCACACATGCGTAGTGTGAAGATTACAGATCCTCGCATGACCGACATGGGATCGAGGCTAGGGAGGTATTTTTTTAGTCTATATTCTAATATTTTATTGGATCCCGTTTTTAGTTGTCAAAGAAATAKCAGAGATATATTATCTATCAGAAAAATTATGATTATACATCTATTTTCTTTGTACTCAAATTATAATTCTTGATCTGTATGATTATGAAACAAAATCGCCGTCGGGTCGAAGTTTCCGGTTCGTTTCGGTTCCCGAAGACCCGCGGGACAAAAGGTATTTTTTCGTATTCAAATATCCTTCGAATCTGTGAACAAACTTACCAGCGGTATCTRACAGATTTTGACTGATCCGAAAATCGTGATTTCAGAATCCTTGTATTTTTTACATTGTTAAGCGAACCAAATTCTGACAATCAAAAAAATTTGATTAGAACTAAACTGTGTCTAATGATTATAATGAATAATATATATGAATAAAATAATTTGTAGATAAAACTGACAAATACGAATAAAAATCTTCATTTGTTAAGCGGACCGACTTGTGAAGCCTGGCCTTGTCCTTTTTTTTCTTTCCCCAGGCTTTCGCATCATAAGAGTGAGATAAATTCTTTGTAACTATAGTAACCAAACACCGATTTCATAACGAATTCATAGCAAAGACATTTTAAAAATATCCGCGATTGTTTTAAATTCAATTGAAAAACTTCAAATATTTTTTTAACCGAAGGAAATTGCTTTTGACGCTTATYTTGATTTATATTTCAGTAATGAAGTAAAATTGTCTAAAAATACCAGGAAARGAAAACTCAGTGATATACCACTGCTAGTCAGGAGTGGGTTTTTGAAGTGTTTATGAGGAAGTACTCGATGTTTTGATGCTCAATACTAWGTTCAGAACTATTCTATGAAATTCCTTCGGTTTTGTCTCGCTATACTTTTTTTTTGATCGCAGCCTTACTTAATTCGATTTCGAATCTTTCATTGTCTTACATCGCAGACACGATTCGTTGGTACATTTTTATTGTTGGGATCCCTGTGGTTGGAAAATTAAGTCATCACATCACGATATTGGCCCACCTTCTCGTTTCCTATCATGSTCTGTTTATTATCCGTAATTACACTTAAATAACTTTCTAATGACTTTTTAACAAAAGCAAATCTTAAGTATTATTCATCCTCCCAGAACGACTCACTGAGACATTACTTGTTAATTAGCTTCAAATTTCACTCTAAGAAAACGAAAAAATCTTATCTGTTTGTTGTRGTATACTTAGTTTTGTTTACGGAAAAAGAAGGCATTAGACACGAGAATTATCAGTTGTTTAGACACGTAAAAACCAGTCCAACGCGATGGAGGAAAATTTCACAAATATCGAAGACCTTTTCTTCCTTCCTCGCAACAAGCTTCAGAGAAAACTAGACAAAATCGAAGCTGGAAATCACGCGTTATTCACCAAAAATTGTGATAACGACGAGTACCCAAGATTCGTTGAAAAGGTTGTATTTTCACCTAAGAAGTTGAACGTCGAGTTTCCCCCTGTTGAACGTAAAGCATGCTCACGTGGAGTAAGGTCTTCTTTACCTGACGTTAGGAACACAGATGGGCTAGAAAACCCAAACCCCAGCCCAACATCAGAAGAGCCTTCAAAGTCGTCCCTTGATGGCTCTTTAGACAAGACAACACGGTCAAGATATAAAGCCAAGCCATATGGAATAGGATCTTTTACTCTTAGTGGGAGCAGTGCATCTTTGTCGATCAGGAAACACAACGAACCGCTGTTCTGTCGCGGCAAGGGCTTTCCTAAAATCGAGTTACCAGAAAATAAAGTCGAGAGTCAGAGATCAAAATCGGCAGTGGATATTGAAAGAGTTCGATTCGAGAACATATCGTCAAGAACAGAGAATTCCTTCGTGACGGGTTTACCGAGAATAACCGATAAAAATGGCAATATTTTGGAACAGCCCATCAAAACTGGTCCCTGTTTTCGAGCGTGGTCGAGCCAAAAGCGCGAGATACCTGACACTGTTAAAGAAGGGGACTCTAAGAATAAGCACCTCGACCCTATTGAACAGAAGGCCGTGAGAAGTTTTGATATTGATGGCTTGTTAAGGGAGGTTCGTCGGACTCAACAAGCCAGGCAGTGTCACAAGGAATGTTTTCATCAAAGTATGGATGAGATATYCTTGAGTAGTGCGGCGAGCTACGCTTCCAAAATCAAGAGGGAGTTGGCGATGTCGTCCAAAGGAGGGGGATTTATGAACCGTGAAAAACACATAAGTATCAAGGAAGAAATTCTCATCAAAAAGTTACTCAGAAAGAAGCTTTTCTCTTTCTACGACTTCGGAGGCAGCGAAAATGTTTTCGAGCGCGTCGTCATGGATTCCTACAGCAAGGACAACCCTTCTATAAAATACAAAAACCTTCCTGCATACTCTACTGAAGAAAGCAACATCTTCCCTTTGTCTGCGCCACATTCCTACCTACCACTATTACCCTACTCCCCTTTACAACTACAGAAACTCCACAACATGCTTGACGCTTTTCCTTGGTGTTCATGGCAACCGCGCCGCTCACTGGACTCAGTTGTGATCAGGGGATCTCAGACTAAATCGGAAGTACGTCACTGTGACGTGGAAATTGACGTCAGTTTGTCTGATGCTGAAGTGGACTACAGCACCAGCACAAACAAGGCGAGTTCAAAGAGAACTGAGCTGGAAATACATTTGCCATCTTGTTGAAGGAGAACAACTAGGGCAAGCAAGCAGGCAAGAACACTTGTACTTCCATGCCGCCATTCACAAACATCAATTCAAATGTCAAATTCTTGTAAGTTGTATTTGCGCAACTTGCATTGACTTGACTTTGGCSACTGATGGATCGATGTCTCGTTTGAGTAGATGACGTCACTGACAATACTAAARATTCGTAAAAATCAATAGAGCAGGTGAATGTTACGTCATTGCCGCCATCTTGGTTGACGATAACAAAGCATTCCTCATTAGCTTCTCTTGTTAGATCAACCAACATGGCGGCTGTTTCATTATTATTCATATCTCAAGGGGTTTTGAGTCACATGGTTACACACACTCTATACTTGACTTTGCAATACAGAAGTTTCAGTCCGAGTGAAACTTGTAAGATTTTCGTCCAAATACGTTTATATGTCGTTATTGTATTCGCAGTTTTGCATGGACATTGATGGAGGCCATGAGGAATTGTTGTTCAGCAACAATCCAAAATGGCTGCCAGCATATGATTCATTGCACACGCCTATATAAGTTCATCGTATACTATCAATGTAAAGCTCTTTAGCCGTTTAAGTGCAGAAACTACAGCTTCTAACCATGTAATATACCTCTCCCATATTCACTTGAGTGACCACAAGACAATGGCTCCAATCTATAAGGAAGAATTAATGTGTTTAAACGTTTATTGTATTTTTTGTATTTTATCATGTTGACATAGTACGTCCCTATCTTTTAAATCTGCAATCTTTCAGGAAGAATGGACGTGTTTATTTATTGTATTTTATCATGTTGACATAGTACGTCCCTATCTTTTAAATCTGCAATCTTTCAGGAAGAATTGACGTGTTTATTTCTTGTATTTTATCATG